GGCTGAATTCTGCGCGAGGCTATTTCTCTGGGCGGCAGAGTCTGATGTGTACTTTACAGAGTCTGATACTGTATATACAGGGTGCCCCAAAAATGTCTCGCAATCCGAAAGTGGCGGGTTCCTCAGGCCATTTGAAGCAACTTTTTCTTTTACAAAAATGTTCTCCGAGGCACCGTTAACGAGTTATTAACGAAAAACAGTGACCAATGAGAGGCGAGCTCAGCTGGCGCGAGGCGATCGAGCCAATGAGCGGAACTGGGCTTCGCGCGCTGGTTGGCTGGGTCGCCTCGCGTCAGCCGTACTCGATTCTTATTGGTCACTGTTTTTCATGAATAACTCGTTAACGGTGCCTCGGAGAAACTTTTTGTAAAGGAAGAAGTTGCTTCAAATGATCCGAGGAACCCGCCATTTCCGGATTGCGAGACATTTTTGGGACACCCTGTAGACTGTTGTAAATCGATGCGAAGACAAAAGAAGTGTGAAACAATGCATATGAAGACGATTATTTGGTTATATTATACACTGTAGTGGCGCGTCGTCCAGAGAGATGACATCCGCGAAAGACACTATAGTGACGTGTCGTTCTAAAAGATGATATCCGCGGAAGCCACTATAGTGGCGCGTCGTGCCTAAAAGGTTAAAGGTGGAAGAAACGTGTCAACTTACCCATTCTTGGCCGTAGCTGTCGCGAAGATCGTTGATAGCCTTGGAATCCCACATTTTTCGGATACCGAAAAGATGCAGAGGCAGGAATCCGTTCTCAGCCATGATCACAAAGTAGACGAAGAATCCGGCGGCAGCTTGGATCATACCGATCTGCCCGTACGCCATCGAAATAAGCCTAGACATAGAGCGGTCGCATTAGAACAAGTCCGGCAACGTCCGAGGGGAATGCGATTCATGTCCAGCTGCCAAAAAACTTTCCCCGAAGTATACGCGGAGACGTTAAACACTGGTTCGCGGCCATCGCCAGGGAAACGAATCGTTTCGCCGGAATAACAGCGTTTACACGAACAAGTTCGTTGGTAGTCGGACAAAGCACTCGTGTATGCCAGTAAGTTCGCTCCTAATAGCCTAAGGTGGTGTTAATATGGAAGCCGTAGACCGGATTAAATGCAGATTACTTACCGGATCGAAACGCAGTAACGATCGGTTGTTCGCGCCGAGGCATGCCATACAGAAGCACAAGGCACAAATATATAATGTATATACAAGGCAAGCCGAGCATCACGGTGCACCGGTTCAAGTTTTACAGCTTTGGGGCATGCAAGCTTTCGTCGAACCGTGAGGCCCGGCGAGACCGACACAAACAGAGAAGCAGGCGAGGTTTTCGTCCAAAAACACCGAGAACAGCAATTGTCTCGGAGCTGATCTTGCAAGAACCGTGTAGACCGACTCGGGGGACTAGCTGCAGGCATTTGTATGCTTGCTTTTCATTTGTCGATTGTTACGAGAAGTGTAGGATTTTCTGGTTTGATCATCTGCGTTTTTAACTTCGGGAAAAGAGAACAAAATTCTAGGACATCGTTCGATGGGTCGAACTCTGCCAGACATGCTTGCACGAATTGCTTCGCATAATTCAGGATAAACATCGTTAACACGCTTTGCGCGAAGTTACTAATGAGAAAACTTGCTCGCAGACCTCCGAGGTTACCCACGATATCCTCGGGTCTCCGAATCGAGCAACAGCAGCCTGCCGCGGTCTAATTAAATAAAAGAGCAAGGGGCTGGTGGAAATTCCCAGTGGTATTTTCGCGGGTAATTCGATTAATTTCTATGACGTCGGCGCGCCGTAGAACATCGGCACGATCCGGTTCCCGCGGGATCAGCTCCGCGAGCGTAGAATGCATGCGACTGACCGCGTGTCGTCAGTCAATTAGCTAGTCAGGCGTTAGATCGAATCAACCACATTGCAGCGGAGATTGCAGATCTCGACAAGTTAACGATGGAAGGCGCGCGAGGATGGTCGTCGAGACCGGGGTGACATGATGGAAACGGGCGGAAAAAAAAGAGCGACCCGATGGCGCCCCGGTTTATCGATTGTCGTTCGTGCTCGGCGAAACGGAATCATCGAGCGGTTACTGACCGACATTTCGCTCGTGTTCCGTGGTTAATCGATGGTTAATTAATTAGCTGGATCGTTGCTCAGGCCGTGCATGGTGTCTCGGATTTACAAGCTTGCTTCGTCGCTTTGTTTCCGTCTGTAAGTCTAACGTACGGTTTTTGGGTTGCTACGTCGGTTTCGCCCGAGGCGAACGGTACATTCGGCATGGTCACCGTTTCCCGTTCTCGCATACGCATTACCTTGGTGGAAGCGGTTAATCGACACGCGCACGGAGACCGTTTCAAGCTGATCACGAGATGATGTCGTTAGAGGCTTGGCGATACAAGAGCGACCCTTCGTACCTTGGTCCCCTCGGAGGATCGGGTCGAGAGGCAACCGGAGGAAACGAGGTCCCGCAAAGGTCGCTTCAAGAACGAGAACACGGATGAGATAAAGCTATCTCTATCGTATTTCATTGCGATAACACAGAAACTGTGGATGTTGAATTTTCGTAATTAATGGTTGACTAATTCCAGAAAGACACGAACTTGCGATTTTTTATTTTTGCATTTATTTTGTGCTGCTTCCGTTCTTGGCACCATTCCGAACTATTTCCTCCTTGTTGCTCGCTCGATCAGCCCTCTAAGGACCAAGGATCTTACGGACACTCTGTATACAGGATGTCCCAAAAATGTCTCGCAATCCGGAAATGGGTGATTCCTGAGGTTATTCGAAGTAACTTTTTCCTTAGCGAAAATGCAAACCGCGGCATCGTTTAGGAGTTATTAACGAAAAACATTGACCAATGAGAGGCAAGCTCGGCTGACGCTAGGCGGCCGAGCAAATGAGCGGAACTGGGCTTCGCGCGCTCGTCGGCTGGGTCGCCCCGCGACAGTCGAGCTCGCCTCTTATTTGCATTTTCGCTAATAATTCGCAAACGAAGCCGCGGATTAAATTTTCGGTAAGGAAAAAGTTGCTTCGAATGACCTCAGGAACCACCCCATTTCCGGATTACAAGACATTTTTGGGACATCCTGTATATACGTTAGTCATCGCGCGAGAGATTTTCTATGTGAAGCATTCGGCATTCCCAACAATGTAACTCTCCTATGAGGTACTTGCTGTGCTATTACTAATCAACTAGGTTTTCCTAGAGCCGTGTTTGCCGACTCGCATAGCGTAGAGTGTCAACCGTGACTTCCGTTTAACTTCCGTTTTCTACACGGATCAAAACGAGAAATCTCTCAGACGCGTGATTTCTAGCGGTAGAGGACATTTGAATAACGTCGATCCGTCATCGATATTACACGTCGTGTATCTTCGAATCGACCGTTCGAGCTTCTTTTGTTCTTCAACGAGATCGTTCCCGGTCGGACAACTTTCGAATTTCGTTTCTCCCGATTTTCTTTCTTTTTTCTTTTTCTTTGTTCGGCTTGAAATGCTCGAGTGCAGATGAGAAGTGCGCACAATTAGAACGATCAAAAAAAGACACTTTTCGTTGTCGCGTGCATGAAAAAGAAAAACAAACGTCAAGCGAGTATAATCAACGAGCAACGAGAGAGAGATCTGTATGTTCCAGTATGATAGAAAACAAACGTAAACACATAATTCGCACGGACGCTCGGACATCAGTAGACACTCTGTTTTGATATGGTTTTCTTTTTTTTTTTTTTTTAATTTTATGTGTGTAACAACCAGTGTGCGCATACATATGCGTGTACACATATATATGCTCGGGTTGGGTGTGCGCACGGGTGGCCAAACTCGTACAGAATGGACTAGAGATCTATGGTATATGTTCGTTACTTTGGTGATAAATGTCGCAAAGGTTCGTTTCAACGAACCCGAACCCGCGAAACGGAGATGTATCGCCGAGATTTTGCAAATAGACCGGTTGACAACGTGACATTGAATCTTCGTTCTTCGGTAATTCAGGCTCGCTTCGTTTTACATTTACACGAATTTCGACCGGGTTCAGGTTTGCGAACGAAAGTCTTTGCTGTCAAGACAGTCCGGAGAATTTTGTCAACCAAAAAAGAAAAACAGTCCGCGTTCGAACTCGAATACACAATCGACACTTTCGCAGCCTGTAAAAAAAAAGAGAAACAAGTTCTGCTCCTCGAAAATGTGAAAAACCGCTTGTGACAAAACGACAAAAACATTCCAAAAATATCGTGCAAAAGATCGTTTGTTCCTTCGAATCGAAGAAAGCATAGTAAGTTCTCGCACGTTTCCCTTGCTTTGCGGAGGCAGATAAATTCACGATATGGCGGGAAACGGCTGCACCTTTCGACAAGACGCAGGATTGCGTGCACGGCTGCGAACGTGTCAGAAATAGGGGACATTATTCTACGGATTTCTACGGGTGTTCTAGTGGCGAACGGTTTGGTCGCCCGTGTTACGTGTGTGTGTGCGTGTATTTTGTGTATGTGTGTCTGCGTTCGTGTCGGTGTGCGTATGCTTCTTGGAGACTGAGTAGCTGTTTTCTCTGGTGGGTAGTTGGGAGACCCACCTTCGGTTGACAAGATTGTCTCTGTAAGGATCGCGGGGCTGCCGTTTCATAATGTCCGACTCCGGTGCCTCGTAAGCTAGCGAGATGGCCGGCACCTGCCATCCACCATTGATTAGAAAAGTGTGCCAAGCACCCCGTACACCGTACAAGTATATATAGATACGTACGTTATACATGTATGCATATTTACATTATGTGTGTACAGAAAATCATGATTGTACACGGCAGTAGCGAAAGAGACAAAGGGACGCGTCGAGACACGTTGTACACGATGGGGGAAACTCGGCCGGCACGGAGAAAACGTCCTTTTCCCTTCAGGCAGAAATAAACCCGTCGACTTTTGGTCGGAACAGAATTCGGTCTCTCAAGGTCTTTTGGAAAATTATACGCGAGAAGTTTGAACCGATCGCGGCGCGATCGACTTTCGCGTCGTTCGAATACTTCTTGAAGAATCTTTTTCAACGGAGACGTTCGCGAAGAAGGCGGCTTTACGCAGACCTTGCATAAACGAGCTCGAAGCTCTGATCGTGTCAAAAGCATGGACTCAAAGTTGATCGAAACAGAAGTCTATCTATCGTTTACAAAAAGATTTGTCCATATATTAGACCGAGTAAAATAGCACGATGACGGCAAAACGACTCGAAAACAAGATGCACAGCATCCTGGCGACCTCGAGTGGACAAAATGTTTTCGTCAGGTTGATCCTTTTCTCCGTGTCTGCCCTCCCCCTCATTCCCAGTTCCTTCGGGTGACAGCATTGTCATAGTGAAAAACGAAAAAATGGCAATACGCCGTGCAGCGTGCTCTCTCTGGTGGGAACTGGCAACAGTCCTTCCGCTGAATTCGAGAGACCTCCGATATAATTGTGTCGGACTATCTATTTCGTTTCGCTATGTTATCGCGTAGCTTTCGCAGCGTGCAGAGTTCGACGAGGTTCGAAGAGCGTTTTCAGCTAGAAGGACTGACCGCCGAAAACGTCCGGAGTATCGTCTGTGTAACTTCGAAACCAGCCACACAAAGGACTACCACCACGAACGTTCATCCCCTTGCCACCGCTTTTCAGCCATCACCAGATGATTTTGCCTCGATTGCTTCGCTACGTTAGCCTGGAATGCTCGATGATGTTCCTCGATCCTCTAAATCACCGAACGAGGACTCGTCGTCGAGCATTTTGGGATGTTCGCTTTATTTCGTGCACTCGCAATACGATTCAAGCATCATTTCTGTTAGTATTGTTAAGCGTCTCACCCCCCGATGCATCAGGAAACATCGGGCACATCGATTCTTCTTAATAGAAGATCAATCGTTCGGCGTTCATCCCGTCGAAAATGCCGACACGCGTTGAGGGACAACAACGAAAACATTGACAGTTCGATTTAAACATTTCGTTGGAAACAGAACAATGACGGCAGGCCGATGTTTCTTTGTTGCACCAGGAGGAACGCAAGAAACCTTAAGGAACCCATACACGTTACAACGACGATGAACTGTCGTACGACGCAACCGTGTTTCGACGGTAAAGTTCCGTCGTAAAATCGCACCTACATATTCTGTGCATCACAGCGTAAAGTTCTGCAATTATTAAAAAAAGAAAGAAAAAGAACAATGTAATATCTTCGATACTTAGAGAAGTACACAGCTCTCCGATAAAAGAGAAATAGAATAAGTATGAATATAAAAAAGAGCATTCCATGCATAATACAGTTCAATTATTTGTTTTTTTCTTTCAAAGTGTATATTCATTATCTTTGAGCAATTAAAATCACTTAAGACCAGGGCCGGCGTTTACGCCGGATGAAATAAACCGTAAGCTTCGAGATAAGCACGAACTACTGGTAAACGTGTTACTGAATTTATACACACTGCCACCGATAATTCATCTGAACACTGACTTCAGATTGTCTGTTGCATCTTCTTTCAAGTAACACGGCTAAGATTAAACGATGATCGATTCTTCAAAGATGCTCGAACATCGATCAGAATTTGCATTGATTAAGAAGCGTGCGCTTCGCCATTATCTGACAAATGTCCAAACGTTTTACAGACGACAGTGTGAACTACTTAGATTTCGGTGCGATTCGTCGTGTGACAGACGGTTTACGGAGAGACAGCGTTCCGGGACGAGTCTCGCTACGACGGACCGTTCGTTCACGATTCGTCGCAGCAACTCGGCCGCAGCTTTTGGATCGTAACGTGTACGAGTTCCCGTTCTCCACCCGTGACAATATTATGCAGAAAACAAAAAAACGGGCGATGAGATCCCGTCGTATATTCCCGTGTTAGCAACTTCCGACAACACCCGGCAGAAACAAATACAGAAAGAGACAGTACAGAGAGAAAGAGAGATCGTTCGTAATCGTTCGGTCGGTTCAGCACACCCGTTAGAAAGTTGCCAGTCGCAGAAGTGGTAGAAGGCAGCGGCGGTAGGCAGCGCATTACAGAATAAAATTGTGAGAGGACTGTAAAGAATAAAACAAACTGCAAAGAAGAGTTTCATATCACGCCTAAAAAAGAGTCGTAGAAAGGGTGCCGCATGACATCGTTTACGTTCTCTCTTTAGCAGCTTCGACGATTCTCTCAACTTATCGTATCGTCGATTCGCAGAAGAGAAAAGCATGCGTACAGGTATCTCCCGGTGTACGCGTACGTTTGCTTTTTCTCTCGTGGGCGGTGGATAATATCGTGGCAGTGAGTGAGAAATAAAAATAGTAGTAAATATAGGTAAATAGTAAGTAAAATAGTAATAGTAAAAATACAGAAGGTAGCAGCGGCAGCTGTGACAGTAGAATAATAATAATGAGAAAAAAAAAGAAGGGCAGTAGTAAAAATTCGTTTGCTAGTCGTAAGAATGATGTAAATATGCTGGCTTGTGGTCGTGACGGCGTAAAATATAGTAAAAAAGAGAACAGGAGAATAGATGACAGTGATGTAAAAGTTGTAACGCGATTAAAAATAGTGATGGTGAACGACGGTTGAAAAAGAACAGGGGATTTAAAAGACGCGTTCGATACCAGTTACTGGGGAGATGATGAGAGTTGGGATTGTTTGCTCACATGATTCACTGATAAAACTAGGATAGACAATGATCAAATACCGATGGCAATGATGACACTAATCGCAGCAGTAATAACCAATATATAGTATAAATATATAGATGTAAACACACGACTATCGATCTATGTACACATTATATATATATACAAACTGAATCGAGATTCGACTATAAAGGCGAGATCCGTCGGCGAGGCGACCAATTAGAAATGCTGGAAGCTCATTTAGAGGCAGAAACGAACATTTACTACGAATTTTTCAAACAGAGATGCAAGTCGATCGAATGATCGAAGAACTATCTATTTGCTGTACCAGTTTCGATCGTTGATCGATCGCAACTCGCAATTCGCTTGAAAGGGCTTTTAAAAAGGGTTAATTCGCTTCCAACAATTCGGAAAATCTGTTTCGAAAGCCGGAATGAAATTATGAAGTCGGCGAATGGTCGCATCGCCGTCGAAGCTCGCAATCTAACCACGTAAACTAAGTAGGTTTATGTAAATTCGAACTCTCTGAAACATCGTGAACTACCCGTGAACATGTCCCGGAAGGAGCAAGTACAACGTTTGAACTATTCTGCGTCGATCCAAGGGATCCGTCTGGTACTTCTACGAACATCATGGTTGTGTTTCTTCGTGTTAAACTGTAGATACGGATGTTCATAATGCTGTGTGTCACTGGATCGGCGTGTCGAGGGTTAAGGAGATACCGTGTGAGTAAGAAAAGTCTTTGGAGAAGTTCCTACGACCGTCGAAGTTCAGCGGAATCGTCGGGTTTCCGGGTAGCAGGAGTCTGATCTGATCGAGAAGAGGGAAAATGTGTTTTGCGGAAGATCAAAGGAAGAACAAAAGGTGCGAAAATCTCGAGCAGCTGGGCAGCGACGAACTTTCGCGTGGTAAGGCAGACGAGGATGCCGGCGAAAGAGAGACAGAGAGAAAGAGAAAGAAAGTGGAAGATAGAAATAAAATAGGGCCAAAAATTCTGTATCGAGAGAGATAGAGATAGCGAGAGAGAGATAGAGAGAGAGAGAGAGAGAGAGAGAGAGAGAGAGAGAGAGAAGAGAAGTTTGGAGAACGATGCGAGTNCGGTTCAGCACACCCGTTAGAAAGTTGCCAGTCGCAGAAGTGGTAGAAGGCAGCGGCGGTAGGCAGCGCATTACAGAATAAAATTGTGAGAGGACTGTAAAGAATAAAACAAACTGCAAAGAAGAGTTTCATATCACGCCTAAAAAAGAGTCGTAGAAAGGGTGCCGCATGACATCGTTTACGTTCTCTCTTTAGCAGCTTCGACGATTCTCTCAACTTATCGTATCGTCGATTCGCAGAAGAGAAAAGCATGCGTACAGGTATCTCCCGGTGTACGCGTACGTTTGCTTTTTCTCTCGTGGGCGGTGGATAATATCGTGGCAGTGAGTGAGAAATAAAAATAGTAGTAAATATAGGTAAATAGTAAGTAAAATAGTAATAGTAAAAATACAGAAGGTAGCAGCGGCAGCTGTGACAGTAGAATAATAATAATGAGAAAAAAAAAGAAGGGCAGTAGTAAAAATTCGTTTGCTAGTCGTAAGAATGATGTAAATATGCTGGCTTGTGGTCGTGACGGCGTAAAATATAGTAAAAAAGAGAACAGGAGAATAGATGACAGTGATGTAAAAGTTGTAACGCGATTAAAAATAGTGATGGTGAACGACGGTTGAAAAAGAACAGGGGATTTAAAAGACGCGTTCGATACCAGTTACTGGGGAGATGATGAGAGTTGGGATTGTTTGCTCACATGATTCACTGATAAAACTAGGATAGACAATGATCAAATACCGATGGCAATGATGACACTAATCGCAGCAGTAATAACCAATATATAGTATAAATATATAGATGTAAACACACGACTATCGATCTATGTACACATTATATATATATACAAACTGAATCGAGATTCGACTATAAAGGCGAGATCCGTCGGCGAGGCGACCAATTAGAAATGCTGGAAGCTCATTTAGAGGCAGAAACGAACATTTACTACGAATTTTTCAAACAGAGATGCAAGTCGATCGAATGATCGAAGAACTATCTATTTGCTGTACCAGTTTCGATCGTTGATCGATCGCAACTCGCAATTCGCTTGAAAGGGCTTTTAAAAAGGGTTAATTCGCTTCCAACAATTCGGAAAATCTGTTTCGAAAGCCGGAATGAAATTATGAAGTCGGCGAATGGTCGCATCGCCGTCGAAGCTCGCAATCTAACCACGTAAACTAAGTAGGTTTATGTAAATTCGAACTCTCTGAAACATCGTGAACTACCCGTGAACATGTCCCGGAAGGAGCAAGTACAACGTTTGAACTATTCTGCGTCGATCCAAGGGATCCGTCTGGTACTTCTACGAACATCATGGTTGTGTTTCTTCGTGTTAAACTGTAGATACGGATGTTCATAATGCTGTGTGTCACTGGATCGGCGTGTCGAGGGTTAAGGAGATACCGTGTGAGTAAGAAAAGTCTTTGGAGAAGTTCCTACGACCGTCGAAGTTCAGCGGAATCGTCGGGTTTCCGGGTAGCAGGAGTCTGATCTGATCGAGAAGAGGGAAAATGTGTTTTGCGGAAGATCAAAGGAAGAACAAAAGGTGCGAAAATCTCGAGCAGCTGGGCAGCGACGAACTTTCGCGTGGTAAGGCAGACGAGGATGCCGGCGAAAGAGAGACAGAGAGAAAGAGAAAGAAAGTGGAAGATAGAAATAAAATAGGGCCAAAAATTCTGTATCGAGAGAGATAGAGATAGCGAGAGAGAGATAGAGAGAGAGAGAGAGAGAGAGAGAGAGAGAGAGAGAGAGAAGAGAAGTTTGGAGAACGATGCGAGTTTCGGCGCCCGACAAAATGGCGCGCCGGTGAGACTCGGTTCTTTCAGCGAGCCGACAAAATGGCGTCCTCCAATCTCCGATATCGGCTCGTAGCACCGATTGAAACAGAGCAAACGTGTTCGAGTACTTGATAGAAAGTAGCGAGATGTGTGATAACAGTGTCGATACGCAGTCGAAAAAGTCGATGTGTAATCAGCGTTGGAGTTGCGGCGGCGAAAAGAGATTCTCTGAAGTGCGGTGAAAAAGTAACAAGATAGCCGGCCGGCTGTTTCTGGCGGAAGCCGCCAATTCGTAATTAAAAATATCGTTCGAGTACTCAACTTCCATGTCCTCCTGCGTCGATCGACGTCGCAGCCGACAGGCTGAGGTCGTGGATATACTTTCAAAGAGGATAAAACTTGGCAAAGCTCGGCTCAAACGGGGGTGAAAGTAGACTTAGATAAAGAATGGAGAGGTGACAGAAACAGAGATAGCAAGAAATAGACAGATAGATCGAAAGAAAGAGCGAATGACTTGAGAGAAAGAGAGATCGGCTTACCTTTGGCGTTTTATGAAAAAACATACTAATTAGAAGCGAGGATCGTCGTCACGGAAGCGATCGCTTGACTGGCAATTCGGTTTAGAAGGAAAAGAAAAACCTTCGAGAGAAAGACGGACAGAGAGGGAGAGAGAGAGAGAGAGAGAGAGAGAGAAAGAGAGAGTGCGCGATTGCTCGTCCGCGATTCGTCGTGTAACAAACTGGAAAGTAAGGAAAGAAAAATTGAATTCCGATCTGTGCTTCTCAATAGCAGCCTACGCAAAGAGTTTGAAATAAGAGAGACGGTCGCGTGTCAGTTTCGATAAAATGCAGTGGGACGGAGAACGTCGGGTGAAACTTTCCCCGATAATTTAAACAAACGATAGGAGCCGTTTAACAGTTTCTGATACGGATTACTGACAGCATTAATGAAACCGGAGTCGTCTCAATGGAATTGTTTACTGCACGGATGGCGGACGAGCAGGCGCGTCACTGATCAAGACACAATCGAGCTCGGAGCGAGTGTCGACCGGGCTCTCCGGTTTCGGAAGGAAATATTTTAAAAGATCAGATAATAAAGCGGCGGTGTAAAAATATACCCAGTCACCAAAAGTTCCCCGAAATATTGTGATACCTGCGTGCACCATTCCGGTTACCTTATCCGGGCTAGATTAGCATCGATCCTAGCATGTCCTTCGATCGAGGCGTCGAACAAATTAAACCCAGCCTCTTAGCGTCTCAACAAACTCGTCAAGCAAATAATACGGTAACGGAAACGGTCGAAAGAAATAGAGAAAGAATGAGAAGTGAGGCACTGTACAAAATGTTCGCCCGTCGGAAGCTCGAGCTTGGAAAGCTTCAGCGGTTTCGTATAATAAAATAGTCGTGACTTAACAAGTAACAAGAACAAGAAACAGAAAAACAGAAGGGTTGGAAAGACATGGCGTTTCGCTTCACGATAACTGTTGGTCGTTCCCATTCGATTAGTACAGTAAATTAGCAGACAATCGCGCGGACACCATCAGCAACAAACTTTCCACAGAACAGAAACAATAATAAAAACCAGAACAGAATTTTCGGCAGACCGGTCATAATAGGCTAGGGATTAATTTGAACATCGAACGTAGTCAGTTAGTATAGTATGGTACTAGCCCCCTAGCTCACAGGATCGGGGGCAACCGAGTATGCGTTAGGAGAGAAAAAAGAGACGTGTTGCGAGAACTTGTGTTTTCTCAGTGGTTGGACGAGTATAATCGTCGTACGAGACAGAACGAACTAACTACTACAATAACCATAGGAGTAAGTAAGAAGTGTAACGACCAATAGACAGGTAAAGGAGAGGAGCGATCGCGACTCTGTGACCTGATCCCTGAACCTGATCATCGATAACCAGTTTATCCAAATCTTCGAGTCTTTCGACTCTTCAATCATTAAGATTCCCAATTTTTACGAACTTTCTTTCTCGGCCGAAGGTTTGACCAGCTTCAAGGACCAGATGGACCATGTCACCGATTACTCTTTCAGGCCATAAAGTATATCTGGTGTAGTTTTTCGTCAAGGCTCGGTTATGTTTGTTGATGTGTTACCTTTCGTTAACTAGCTTGTCAGTGAACGGGTTTCGTGGATGTCGCTTCATAATATCGCTCTCTGCCTCCTCGTAGGCAAGTGAGATGGCTGGCACCTGACGTCACATTATCAACAAGCTCAGTAACAACGCCAACAGTTAGATCAATGAATATTGTTTTCGGTAACCTTGGGGCAAGGATGCTGATCGTTTCGAGAACGTGGGGGATCGATTGGTCGCGCTCGGTCTGGAAGGAAATCAACGTTCGCCGTTTCGGCTGCGACGATCAGCATTCTTGCGGGCGTGTCATAATGATGAAAAAACGTAGGGTGGTAAGCGAAAAACAAAACTGAGAGAACTGAATCGATCTGGACGATGAAGGGGGAAGGGTGTCGGGAGTCCTGGGGATGTTCTCGGGATCGATTTTTCGAGGTCTATGGATCGCCACGCGACGATCTATCGCGACGTTATCGAGCTTCGTCGCTCCGAAGATCTTCGATGTAGCTCTCATACCTGGAAGAAGCTGATAAATCTTCGTTGCGAGGATTTTGTTTCCGTAGGTACCTTTCGTGGACTTTATCCATCCACAGTTCGGACATGAAACTCTTGATCAGAAAAAATGAACCAATATCCTCGTACACAATGCATATAATAACAATAATTAGTTGTCCATATGGCGGTTCTCGTGGATCTAAAGATAAAATCACAAAGTTAGATCCCTAGTCCTAGAATCTTTTGGAACTGGCATTGATCTGGCCTACTGCGGTTACCGGAGCTCTTAGCTGGCCTAGATAGAATTACAGAATCTAGGAAGGACGTGTTCAGAAAGCAATATCGTATCGAGTCTGTTCACAGAGAACCTTTCGTTGACGAGATTGTCGTGATCCGGGTCACGAGGTTTTCTCTTCATGATGTCGGACTCGGCGGTCTCGTATGCCAAGGAAATGGCAGGTACCTGGTAATTATTAGTGCAAACATGAGATTCCGACAGCGATCGCTATTCCATTATTGCCGGGATCGGAATACGAAATACATCGCTGAATATTTGTTCATCGTTCGAATGGAATCGCAACCAATCCTCGATAGATCCGATGATTTAGGATCTGGTCGAAGAGTCGTTGGATTCCTTCACGGTTATTTTCTATCTGTTCGGTCGTTTCCAAATGGAAACGATCGATATCGATCGTCGAAGAATTACACTCACCATGTCCGTTCCCAGATCGATGCAGAGGATAGTGACAGTGCCGAGAGGTAGGGGAATGTCGCAAAGGATGAACGCCAGGAAGGGTGAGATTTCAGGGATATTCGAGGTCAGGGTGTACGCGATGGATTTCTTCAGGTTGTCGAAGATCAATCGACCCTCCTCGACGCCAGTCACGATCGACGCAAAGTTGTCGTCGAGCAGGATCATGTCCGCGGCCTGCTTGGACACGTCCGAGCCCGCTATACCCATGGCGACGCCGATGTCAGCTTTTTTCAGCGCCGGCGAGTCATTCACACCGTCACCTGGAAGATATTTTACAATTTAGTGCCATCTTGTTCTACGTATAATCATCAATATCGCGTCTTTCAAGAACCGTCTCAAGAATCCTTTCACGAAGTTTACAATGATTTAAAAAAAAAAAAGATAGCGGGAATTCATAATACTTTCGTGGAGCACGTGATATGTTCTCACTATTTTAATGCCTGTATTTTATATAGAAGTTGCACTTTTTAAAAGAACAAAAATTTGATAAAATTGTCCCGGAAATGGGACATTGGCGGATAATGGGTTGACACTTTGCGACTGCCGTGTTACCCAGATATGGGTGACGAAATTATTTCCTCGTATCATCTTAACTTTACAAGGATCAGCAAAATGTAAGAATGTTAAAAATATAATTGATATCATACAACTTAATTTCTCAATTCTAATTCGATGAAATAAAATGCTTTAACCCGTTGAATTGGTTTTGAAAGTTTTGGAAGTCGATGGCATCTCTTAGATAGCAAATGCTGGTGTAGATGACTTATTCAGCTAACAGTAAGCCTAACGGAGACTCTGTTTCAATTTCTGAGAAATCCACCCACCAGTTACAGCGACGATAGCTCCCATCCGTTGGCAGCCTTCGACAATGATGAGCTTCTGCTGTGGCGAGGTACGGGCGAACACAATTTCGGTGTGATACCTGAGGATCTCGTCCAGTTGGTCGGAGTTCAGTTCCCTGAGTTCGGTTCCATGGACGACGGCAGCCTTGGCCTCGCGAGGATTCACCTCGGATACGGGGATGTTCAACCGTTTAGCAATGTCCTCGACGGTTTCGTTACCTGTTTGAAAACACAATTACATCAGTATCAACCGAATTTCGAAATCTTCGCCTGTCTCAACTTCATTTTCACTAAGTTTGAAAGACTACTAATTTTCTGGGCAAGAATAACTTTTCATCGCGCAACTAATAGTTATCGTTTCTTTCTTTCCGATTTCTATCCATTCTATCAAGTTGTACAAACAAAGTAGACGCGAACGTTACGGTCTGCATATGCGTGTGTATGCGCGTAGAGTAAACGAATGTTGTAAAGCTACAGTGGCTCCGAACGTTTGATTTCAATAGAGGAAACATGTTGACATCACGGTGCACGATTGAATGTAGCAATTTGTTAAGGTCTAACCGGAGGAGAAGAGAGCGGACTAGAGAAGAAGAGACGGGGATAATAACCTTCAGAGATGATGCCGACAGATTTGGCAATGGCTTTGGCAGTGATCGGATGGTCACCGGTTACCATGATGACCTTGATACCGGCTGACCGGCACTTGGCGACCGCGTCGGGCACCGCAGCCCTGGGCGGGTCGATCATAGACATCAGGCCCACAAAGCGGAGTCCGTCTACCGGGAAGTTCGGGTCGTCGCAGTTGAACTTGAAACCGATCGGGAACTTGTCGGACGGCAGTATGTAGTCACAGAAACCGAGCACACGTTCACCGAGTCCACCCAGTTCGAGGTAAGCATTGTTGAACGCCTCCTTCATCTCCTCGTCGAGCACCTTCTCTTTGCCACCGATGAAGATCGAGGCGCAACGATCCAGAATCCTCTCGGGTGCTCCCTTCATCACGAGCAGGTGTCTCGGGTCGTCGGGGTTGTCCGACTCGTGGACAGAGACCTGATACTTGTTGGTCGAGTTGAACGGAATCTCGCAGACTTTCTTGTTGCGTTTCCTGATGCCCATCACGTCACCCAGCGCCAGCTCCATGCACTTCAAGAGGGCAGCCTCGGAGGCGTCGCCGTTCACTCCTCTCTGAAGGATCGGCAGGTCGTCTTGGCCAGACTTGAATTCGGCTCGATTGCAGAGCGTCGCGATCTTGGCCAACGCCTTGAAACCGGGGCTGGTGCGGTCGTATTGCAATCCGGACTGATCCTCCGTGGTGTCCGCCTCGATGATCTGATTGTCGAACCACATGTGAGCGACGGTCATACGGTTCTGGGTGAGCGTGCCAGTCTTGTCCGAGCAGATGGTCGATGTGGAACCGAGCGTCTCGACGGCCTCCAGATTCTTAACCAAGCAGTTCTTGGACGCCATACGTTTCGCGGTCAGCGTCAAACACACGGTCACGGTCGCGAGCAAACCCTCCGGCACGTTTGCCACAATGATACCGATCAAGAAGATAACCGCATCGAGCCAATGGTAACCGAGAATGAAAGCGATTATGAAGAACGTAACACCAAGGAACACGGCCACGCCTGTGATCAAGTGGATGAAGTGATGGATCTCCTTAGCGATCGGCGTCTCGCCGGTGTCAAGGCCGGATGCTAAACCAGCGATCCTTCCCATTACCGTCTGATCGCCACAACAGATCACCACCCCTTTCGCTGTGCCTTCAACAGCATTGGTCGAGAAGAACGCTAAATTTTTAGTTTCCAAGGGATTTTCGTTCGTGAAATCTGGAGACCTCGACTGCGGCTCAGACTCGCCGGTCAGCGAGCTGTTGTCGACCTTGAAGCCCCGGGACTCGATGATCCTGATGTCAGCCGGTATACGATCGCCGAACTTCACCTCGACTACGTCACCGAGCACCAACTCCTCCGCCCTCAGCACCAGCTTCTCGCCCTCTCTGATCACGGTCGCGTACTGCGGCACCATGTTCTTGAACGACTCCATGATTTTGCTCGACTTGCTTTCCTGGTAATACGAGAATATGCCCGTCACTATGACGACCACCGCCAACACGATGCCCAGGAAAAGATTGTCGTCGCTCGGGTCCTCGCTGGTCGACGCCTGGATCGAGTACGCGATGAAACAGAGGATCGCACCGATCCACAGCAACAACGCGAAACCGCCGAACAGGTTTTTGCAGAATTTCACCCATTCTGGGGTCTGTTTCGGCGGGGTCAACGCGTTCGGCCCGTCCCTCTCGAGGTTCTCCTTTGCTTTCGCATAGCTGAGGCCCTGCAACAAAATCCATCCGTCAGAATCGATTATAACCAACCGGGGGGTTACTGTTTCCCCTCTCCCCTCCACATAAGTATCGTTCGTTCTATTCGTAAATTAAACAAGTGGAAAAGCAATGTTCTTTTATCGTTTAGAAAAGAAGACCCCGCGATTACTTTCGATTTCGATTCAATGAGATAACTTACGAAGTTTCGGTCGATAGAATTCAAGAACGTGTATAAAATCTCCGAGAGCAACAGAGTACAAGCCAGAATTATTATCTGTACAGAAAAATGCTTTCAAGCGTGAGATTATTTGATATAATCAGATTTGCCGAGCTCTGAACGCGACTGGTGTACATTGTTTCATAGCAATGACAAAAATGAAGTATAAGTCAGACTCTGCGCGACTTCTGTTTGTAATTAGACTGTGGATATTATGCATTCTTGGCAAAACTTATTGCGTCAAATAGAGAATTGAACAGACATTGGAAGAATTTGAGAATATAGAAGAGACAATATTAGAGAGAAAGAGAGAAATTACGTTTTTATCAGACTTACGTTCCTTATAATTGCACTACGGATTTTTATGCAAAATATAAATTATTTAAGTCAATTGTACAGAACAAGAGTCAAATGAAAATGTACTTTTCCTTTCAATAGCTTCAATGAACTGAGAATAGTGCAATAAGATTCTCAAATTTTTTTGATGCCTCCATTGTTCCTCACTTGCCCATTTTTCCATGAATTCATAAAATCCTCGGTACACTTACAAAATTAAGGCAAATAATCAGACAAATCTTATTTTATAAGAGCATAAGAGCACGCAGTCTAATATATATGCTTCGACAGAGAGAAGTTCGGCAAACAATTAACAATTTCTCGTGAGATTATATTTGTATAATCTCTCAGAAGAGCACCGAAACAAACGATCGGAAACGAGTCGCGTTGAACGTTAAACATTATCGTATAAAACGTTATTGCACGTCAGTTTCTTTTTTTTAAATATTTTCAGTCCAGTGTCTCGTCCGCAAGTCAAGGCGATGACCTGTGACGGGTCACGCAATCCCGAACGTGCTGGAGGATCGGGATTTCGTGATATCGCCACCCCCGCTAAATAAGGGACATCATGAATTTCGTGCCAACGATGACACTCGAGCTTTAAATAACCGGATCAATCGATTGGCGCGACGCGTACGCCAAGGCCGGATAAAACGCTCTCCCGGTGTTCTGGCGTTAAACAAATTACATTCGGCTAGCTCGAGACTGTTTCACACTTACGTTCTCGGGGTGCGTATGAAATCTCTGATACAGTTCTTCGGGTGAGATTTTGTGGAAGTCAATGTCCAACTCCTGCTTCAAGTCGTCTAAATTGTCCGCCCTCCGCTTGGGGTTCTTCCGCCGCGACTGTTCAACAAAAAAGATAATTATGTTAGTTGATTGCGGGAACGGAAACGCAAAGAGGGTTGGCGGATGGTTAGTTCTGGTTATAACGAGGGTTTGCATTGTTCCTCGGAACACAGGTGTTTTCGAGGACGTCGAGGATCTTGGGGGAGAACAAGTATCGGGTGTGAACAATCGTTTTTGTAATAAACAGATAGGATGAAAGATGAGCTTGGAAATCACGAAAATTTAGAGGGAGAGCTTCGAGTAGGTCAGACTATTTAATTCGGTGAAAGAAAATGCTGATCAGAGCATTCTCGTGAAAGAGGATCGCTAAAGGATTTGGAAAATGCTCCTCATCGTCGAGGAAGGGTGTGACATTTTTTTAAATAATTATTTTACGAGACTACTATATGTTATACAAAGCGTACAAGCATGATTACTATGAAGCTACTATTTTAAGCGATGACTACTGTAAACTGCGAGAAGCTACTGCAAAACTTAGAGACTACTCGAATCAATTGTTTGAATATTTAATTGATCAATTAGTCCTCCTCAATTTCGTCTTTAATTGTTTAGTAATTGCACGTTTCATTTAATAAGTACACGAGGATTAAGGGCTGAAGGGACAATACCGAATTACCATGATGCGTTAACATATGCCCGACTGTCTGCAGGATGATTGTTCACCGAGAGTGTACATGCAGGTGGGAAATGGAAATTGGACGAAGAAGACGGGTAGGCGAGTTATTAATAGCTCGATTGTATTATAGCATTTACGGATCGTTCGAAGATCGTTACTAATTAAAGGATCGTTGTTTCGTGCCGAAATAACGTCGGTTAATCGCCGAGAGACCCGTTAAATGTACATTTAGGGGGTAATCCTGCAGATACTGTGGTCGGCATCAGTCAATTACCCCGAATTAACGTGTCACAAACGAGCCGGCAAGCGACAGTCGAGGAGCGATGTTTCCTTTCCCAGGATCAAATGGGCAGGATCAACGATTAAGGTGCGCAACGATAATGTTAGCGAAAGGTGTGACCGGGACAGTGACTACTTTAGAGGTCTACAAAAGAAATCGCCGATTACAGAAAATGCAAGAATATTTCAAAGAGAGCGGAATTGTTAAAAATCGAAGAGAGATTTCGCAGTACCGCAGTCAGAAACAAAAGCGAATAATACAGAAAGAAGGTTGTAACAGCGGCTGAGAATAGAAAGGTGCTCTGAAGAGATTTGTTAGAGGAGTTCGGAAGAAAGGTTGTTATAGTTCAATATCCCAGGCCAGTCCCCGATGAAAGAAGTTATTCTTTGAAAATGTTCTTCAACGACTTACGGCAAGATCAAAAGCGGAGAAGAAGAGCTATTAAAAAATGTTACAACAATGTCTCGACAACTTCCTGGGAGTTAAGCTTCGAAGAAAAGAACGACGGAAGATAGAAGATAGAAGGATGTTCTGTAAAGATTGATCAAAAAGCGATACGTTTCAAAGAGTCGTTAGTTTACCTAAGCGAGAGAAATAGTTAGTACCCCGAAGAACCACCGAAGACGAGATCTCATTCGAAATGAGCTCTCAAAGAATGCCTGTAGACACGAGAATAGAATGGATCTACCACCAACGAAGCAAGCCCCCGAAATATTGCAAGTGTAAATGGAGTCGCCGCGGGGACCGGAAGTCCTCCGCAGAATACCTTGAACATCCCGTCTGCTGTAATGTTGTCGTCGCGAATTTTAGGTAACGTCGCGACCCTGTACGAGTTCGAGCGGCCATGCTGGAAAAAAATGTATGACAAAAAAAACATGAGACACATGAAACGACCGAAAGAAAACAACAACAAAAAAATATAAAATAAATCGATGCGACATCGCGATAGAAAATATCCGAAACGAAAAGTGATAACGCATTTTGTTCGACGGGTTTTCGACGAGTTCCGCGGAGCTGCTGTGAGTCATCGACGTGATTCAAGAATGGTAATTAATGAATGACTCGTTTACTCCACGTTCCAATCTTGGATCAGATTTAATTATCGGTCGTTCGAGTGAATGAACGTTACCGGCTCACTCGCGGTATCGCTAGGCTGGATCTTTATGCGTGTCATGAACTTGTTCTGAAAGTACATCATCGAGATTTTCTATTTTTCGTTTATCCGGAAGCTTTTCACTTCATTGCAACTAGTCTGCGGATCCTCGCGCAGTTTTGGTGCACGCGAGTTTGCAAAATGCAAGGAAACGTGCGCGTATTTTCTGGTCGTTGTAAGAAACTTTTTAGACGGTAACAGCAATTTTTTCCTGTTTTAGATATTTGGTCAACGATTAGTGAAAATGAGAATTTGTATAATGATCCGCAGTCTAGTTATAAGAGAAACCGTAAGCTTGGGACGTTAACCATGCGCATTCGGATGTGTCGGAGACACAACTCTCTCTCTCTCTCTCTCTCTCTCTCTCTCTCTCTCTCTCTCTGTCGGTAATTATGGTACATTCAATGTTCAAGATTTTTGTTGTACGAAAAACCTGTTCAAATATAACTTTCATACGAAATTCTATTAAATACAATAATGATTTCTAACGTGATATCATTTTAGATTTTATTTGAAGCGTTATTTATTTCAGTGTAAATTCTCCCTAATTTTCCATCAGCTTGCAAACGGAAATGGACGATTTGGGAAGAGGAGATACTATTATTCGAGCCTCGCGCCTCGTTCTCATAATTGTTAAAAATCGACAAGCTGAAGGAAAATTCGGGAGAATTCACCGTGCTTCACGAATAAATACGTTCGAGTTGCTAGTACATTAATTAAGTAGGACTCGAAGCCAAATAACGCAACATTTAATATAGCTTTTCTGTCCCATGGTATTTCCATTTTATATAACCTGGTGCATTTTGAACGTGTGAAGTTGAATTTTGTGACTCGTGCAACAGTTACGCTTTCGACAGTTCTTTAAATATAAACAAATTTGATTAATAAAATTATTTTGAAACGTGACGTAACAGTTTTTATTGGTGCCTCGGAGTCGCCAGTCGAGTGCAAAGGGTTAATATATTCGTTTTTTACTTTTTCATCTGGTCTTTAGCGTTTCGAGAGGATTCTCATCGGGAAATCGAAGTTTCCGAGATTAGGGCACCGCCGCGTTTAGACTCGATCGTGCGACTCGCGAATTTATTTAGCGGCTACAGCGCGTTCAACGTTCCCGGGCCAGTGGTAAATCAGGAACGCGTTCGGCCGACCTTCTGAACACACGTGGGCAGAGTAAATCGAACACGTGAGACCGCGGTGCAGTCAGAAGCCTAATTTTCAAGAGCGACCTCGCCAGTAGCGCTCGGCTCGCTCGCTCGTTTGGATAACGACCGCTTCCGGTGCCGTTTCAATGGAGGCGTATCGCTGAAATCGCTCCACGGAATCCCGTAATCGAGGCTATCCTTGAACGAAGCACCATGGACCGCCGCGACGGTACCCCATTTCCTCGCTCGGAACTCCAAAATTCCACGGTTCAATCGTACGCTAACATTCCGAAAAGCATTCAGTCCGTCGTTCGATAAACCGCATCTCGTTGACAGCAAACGCGTTCCACGGTATTTGATCGATCGAGAATTTATTTCGATGATGTTCCCCGATACCTTCCGTCCGTTCGTGCACAGCGAGCAACAGTCGGCGAAAGGATGTTCCGGTGACGCCTTAGAGATCGCGAACAGACATGTTTTTCCGGACGAAACTGTCGTCGACGCATTTCGGATGCTCGTGAAAATGTTTGTACGCTTTTACAAGTTTCTTTCGTCGAACATTGTTAACCGCGGCGGCTGGGTCAATTATGACCTAGAGTATTTCAATCAGTCACCTTAATCACTCAACATTCGACAATTGAATTGTTGCATTAGGAACAACAGGAAAGCTGATAGGTCTGCGAGAAATATTATCAAAAATATATGTCTTGAAAAATTGCTGAACGAAGCTCAGAATTGTTATAAATATCGCCGATGGTACAGTTGTGAAAATCATTAATTTAAATCTTTAATTTAAAGTTAATCATGGATTCTACCGATGTACGTGTTCAGCGACTTTTTCTATTTGCTTACAGAGAAAGATAGCAGGCGCTTCTGTTACCGAAGAAGGGGACATCGGAAGTTTCGTATCGATCTAATAATTCATAGCTCGGATATCAATAGCATGACACGAGAGGGTACGAAAATTTCTCTTACTTTTCTGGGCTACTTTCGGTAATGGTTCGACACGCGTGAACGATCTGCCAAACGAACCGACGGAAACAACAGGACAATATTCGGAGGGTCGGTTCGGTGGCTCGAACTTTGGAAGGTCGATGACAAGCCAGAAATTCGCGAGGGTCGCACCCCCGCGTCTTCGAGGAAAGAAGTTTATGGGGCGTAATCAAGAGGATCGTCGATAAAAACAAATATAACGGATATTTTCTACACGAATTGTTCTGGCAAATTTACGTTTTCTGTTGTTGAATCGATTCGAAACGAATCAAAGACAATGGCCAATCGTTGATATTATCACCGATTAGAAACTTTCGCATTCGTATACATCTGATCCGATTAGCTGTTGCAATCTCTTCGAGAAACGCGTAAGTTACCGTAATTGTACTGTATATGAGCCGTTTATTTTGAAAGTGGCCTAAGTCCATTCGTTTGAAAATCCAGATATTTAAGGATTTAATGAATTTAATAAATTCAAAAATATATATTGGTAACTCATAACATGGTAGAAGTCTTTACAACAAATTTGAAACGAAGAATGTGATACCGGTTATTTTTACCGGTTCAGTGGATTTAGCGTTAATAGATCATGTACGAAGTCTTCATCACAAATCTGACTCGTTTTTATAATGCAAGAGGATAAATTATTGTTTTGCCTTTTTTTGGGAATATTTATCATTTTCGTACATCATGGTACTTTTTTTATACACACTTCTGAAATATTTTATCATTTTATAGGGAAGCATTTCTTTACAAAATGGACTCCGTATTTAGCCTCACTTTCCAATTTGTCGCTCTACAATTTATTCTACGACCGAACAAATTCACAAGATTTTACGAAATTCTCTATATAATGTTTCTGCGTGTTTCAAGGTTTATTGCGTTTTAGAGGCTCGTTGAAATGAAATTATATATAACGTAGAAAAAAGATAGGTAGGCCCGATGTTTTTGGAAAATGGACTTTGGTCATTTTTGAAATAAACGGCTTATACGTTTGATTTCCTTCATATTTTGTTCAAATACAACACACTTTCATAAAATATATATTTTAATAAGGAGTATCAAAGTATATATACAGGGTGTCCCAAAATTATGGTATTTCTGGCAAATGTGGCATTCCTGAGATCATTCGAAGTAACTTTTTCCTTTACAAAAATTTTCTCCGAGGTATCGTTAACGAGTTATTAACGAAAAACACTGACCAATGAGAAGCAAGCTCGGCTAGCGCGAGGCGGCCAAGCCAACGTGCGGACGAAGCCCAGCCGATCCCGCCTCTCATTGGTCACTGTTTTTCGTTAATAATTTGCAAACGAAGTCGCGGATTGCATTTTCGCTAAGGAAAAAGTTATTTCAAATGATCTCGCGAATCCCTCATTTCCCGGAAATACGGTTTTCTGACGAAAGTCCTGGTCATGAAGAAATGATATTTTGTGTTATCACAAGTATGCTCGTCAAGAGCGGCTAGCAAGTTAAGGGAAGGAACGCGAATGGAATTCCAAGCCCTCGAGATTGTTCCAAACGATTTTGGTCTCGTTTCAACATACAAATGTCCGCCATAGTGTTCTCTTTCCCTCCCAAAGATTTATAGATCGTTCTACGTATACACCATTTCAAGATACAAAAGTTGCCTAGTATCGGAAGTTTGAAGGTCGAAGGTAGCATATATTCGGCCACTTTCTTTTCCAACGACTTGAAAAAAAGCCGGCCGCAATGATTTTCCGAGCGGTGACAATCCATCGTCGACACCTAGGCGACTTATTCAACTAAAAAGTTGCATCCTCGTGCAAGATTCGTCGCGCACAATGGCTCGGCAGCGTATCGATCGGCTCTCTCAGGCACGTGTGCGCGCGATGCGATAATTGTCGCTCGTCGCGGGAGAAGATTTTGCCAGCCGCAGTGCAGTAAATTGTCTCGACCTCTCGGAACGGTGATTCCGATCTTGAACATGTCGTGGAAATAAGTGAAACCGATTGGCACGGAGCCATTGGTCCTCGGCCCTTGCCTGGGTGCGATCATATTTCAACGCAGCAGCCGCCATTGCCGAGCTAGGATCGCAAGACCTTCCACAAGGATCGACGATAATATCGATTTTGTGTTGTCTTGTCTCGATAGACCAACGCAATATCAAGACAAGAAATTAAAAAATAATAAAATGACACTCGATATCTTGTAAGAATCTTGGCCTTGTTTTCTTCAGAATTTTCAATACGATTAAAATATTTTCAAATACGATACTGTACTTATCTCAACGAATTTAAATAATTTGAGCTTTTTACAAATTACTGTTTACTTCAAGAATGTAGTTTTATTTTATAAAATAACGTTATGAAAGTTCTCGGCTCGAGGATGGAAATCTATTGTTAATCTGTGAACTTTTCGACGATTACAGAAAATAAGAGACAATTATAAAAATGGTGAAACGGTTCATGGAAATTTCGTAGAGCTTCTGCTCCTATGATTTTCTAGTCGATATAGAACGTTCTTCTCTTCCTCAGATTTCGACGAAACAATCGACGAAGACGCGATCGATATTTTCGTAAAATCTTGCGAATTTGTTCG